CTTCTTTGCAACTTAAAGCTCTGTCGTCCTGTTTCCTGTGATGTGTATTCTATCAGGAACACTTATCTGAAGCTTGAGGTCTCTCTGCCAGGTGCCATTCAATATCACCGTTGCTAAACTTTTTTTTTTTTAATGTATGAGTGTATTGCCTGCATGTATGTGAGTGCACCCATGTCATGCAATGCCATGGAGGTCAGAAGAGGGCTTTGGATTCCCCTGGAACTGGAGTTAAGGACAGTTCGTAGCTGCCATATGGGTGCTGGGAATTGAACCCAGGTCCTCTGCAAGAGCAGTCAGTGCTCTTAACCGCTGAGCCATCTCTCCAGCCCCATTGCTAAACTTTTATGTGTTGGTGATAGGGGAAGTAGCTCCTTAACTACATGAGTGGGATGTTACTAGGCTTAGAGATAATTTTTGTGGATGTATTCCTTCTTTATTAGAAAGAATTTAGGATTGAAATTTGCAGACTATGTGTCTGCGTGTGTATGTACACATGGAGTACATTACCCAGCCACATGCTCTGTGTTGTCCATTTGTGTTTATTGAGTATTGTTGCCCTAGTGGCTCAAGCCAACCAGAATCAGTATTTCACTCTATCACTGTATTTTTGTCTGAATCCTGAGAAGTCATTTCTGACCCAATCATTTGGAGACTGGAGTACCTACCTACCTGACTCACCTTTCCTTTTCTATTAATCAGGTTTTTTCCCTGCTTACATCTTATATTCTCTATGATGATTATAGATACAGCCTCCCTGTCTGCAGCGGCCCTTATCATTTTGTCACCTACCTAAAAGTCCTTTAGGTTTCTGAGAAGAGGTACCTGACTACAGCAGAGGCAGCACAAAGATTACAGTCCCTGAAATCTAGTTCTCTCAGGGGAGTAATTTTCAGAATTTCATAGGTACCAGACATAAAATCAGTTTGTATGAAATGACACGGGAATGAAAAGCTGGCAAACTTATCCAACACAGCAAGGCCCAATACTCCAAGTGTTTCAAAAACCAGTAAAATTTTAATATTATCTGGACCAATGCAATGGAAGCACTGGAACATGTTAGAAGTTTAACCACATCCATTGTATTCTCTAATAAAGCGGTCCACATTATTAGGAGCACCCCTTGAGCTGTGCTTTTCTGAATTCTGATCAAAACTGGCCAATTTGTTGACTTAAAAAAGAAGACTGAATGGGGAAAGATCTCATCTCCAAACACAAATCAGTGCATCCTCTGATGCTGAGGCAGGCCAAGAGACAAGCATTGCACCTTGTCATCATGTCTGCCTTGATGACTTTTAAAGAATTTTAAAATTCTGTTTACTTACGAAAGCATTGATAGCTAAGCTTTCATTCCATAACAACCTATGATATGTAAACCTGTGGTAAATTTAGTTTTGTGAAAGACATTCAGTTTTTCCAACCCAGAGATGAGGCATTTATTTGAGTTTTACCTTTTTGGTCCATCACCATGAAATCTGAAGCACCATCGTAACTGCATGAGAATTTGTACCTTCCACATGTATTTTAATTTTCTCCAAATCTCATCATCCAATAAATTAACGTTTTTGCTGGCTCTGAAAAATGTGCTACAATTTCAAGGAAGTCAATGTCTATATAACCTTGTCTATTACTTTAAGATTTATAATAAACTGGTCTACTTTACTCCCTTCTTCTAATTAGATGGGTTCCATAACTGATACTCATTATATTAAGGAACTCTAATGATGAATATCATAACTTGACTTTGCTCCAGAAAAGGGAGAGTCCTTGAATAGAAAAGTCAGCAGGGTTAGCCAAGAGAATGCTTTTGTCCCCACAGTTCCCCTATGCAGCTGCTCCTATAAAAACGTTGTTTCAGATCCTATCTTCCCTTCCAATGCCATTCAAGTCCCTTGGCTATTGCTCTGAGGAGAAGCTCCCTTTCAGATCTGAATAGGTAAACTGCATTATAGGATCACTCTTCCCCTTCCCTATACCTGACAACATGCAGACATGTTTTCCTGGTGAATAGCCCACCTCCATTTCATCTCTCCCTACCCATCTTTAAACACTTCATGAATATGAATAATGTACCCAGGACTGCAGAGCTGGGCCTCAGCTACTAAATGAGACCTGGCTGAGCCAGTCTTTTCCCTGGGGTCCTAACACTGAGTATAACACTGAGTATCTCCTTATGCCTATTAGTCAGAAGCAATCCTCATAGCTTAAATACACCAGGCTGTGGCAGTGCCTTGCCAGGCACATTCAGACTTGAGTATTCACTGTAATAGGGTC